GCAGCCCCCCTGATCCCAGTCCCCATCCCTGTGGGAAGGCGAGCTGGTGGCAGCCTTCTTCACCCCTGCTGTCGTGTCTCCAGGGATGAGATCCCTGATCTCCATTCTTTTGGGTCCAGAATCAGCACTGTCACCTCTGCCCCAGTCCCGCATCACTGGGGATTGGGGACACCTCTGTGCCACCTCGCTGCCACCCGTGTCAGGGCCTTGGGAACGCCAGAACCTCGCTGCGGCCCAGGGGAGGCATCACCGAGTCCCCTGCTAGCCCGAAAGCCTGAAATAGCAGAGCCTGTCATTCCCAGGGGTTATAAATAGCCCTGGCTATTGGGAGATGTTGTTTTTTTCTGCATGGAAAATGCTGCCCTAGTTCTGTTCCGTCAATCTGCTTCCAGAAATAGTCCCGATTCTTGGAAATTTCTTGCCTCTGGGGTGTGTGTTCAGCTGGGGGCTCAGGGGGGACTGATCCCACATGGGTTCAGCACCCAACCCAAGGGACCCCGGATTGTCCCCTTTTTGTCCAACACCACCTGCAGTTTGGGGGGGGTGGCAGCAGGTGGGGACTCAAGGACCCTCCTGTGCTGTCTCTCCCCACAGCTGGACCCGCAGGCTGTGCAGACCAAGAACTGGCACATGGACGTGATTGAGATGAATGGGGTAAGCGGGACCCAAACCCCCTTCCTTGGGGTGGGATCGTTGGTTCCTCCCCAAGGGGAGCTGCCAGCTGGGTTCCAGGCTGTGGGATACAGAGATGACAACCTGGGCATCTCCTGCAGATCAAGGTGGAGTTCTCCATGAAGTTCACGAGCAGAGACATGAGCCTCAAAAGGACCCCATCTAAAAAGCAGACCGGAGTCTTCGGGGTCAAAATCAGCGTTGTGACAAAGTGTGTGTGGGGCTGTGGGTGGCTGCTGTCCCACTCCCTGTGGGATCTGGGAACATGGGGCTGGTGGAGTCCAGCATTACTGCTTACACCTCTCCTTTCTGAGCCAGGCGCGAGCGCTCCAAGGTGCCTTACATTGTGCGCCAGTGCATCGAGGAGGTGGAGAAGAGAGGCATTGAGGAGGTCGGCATCTACAGGATCTCCGGTGTCGCCACAGACATCCAGGCACTGAAGGCTGTCTTTGATGCGAGTGAGTGACTGCTCTGTCCATCTGCAGGCATCAGGCACCCTTCCAGCCCTCAGTCCTGCAGGCTCGGGGTCTGCAAATTGTGTGGGTGGGTGCATGGGGTCTGAGCCCCCAGAAGGGAGCCCTGCAACCCCTGACCTATTTTTGGTAGTGCTTATGTTATGGCTGTGCTCTGCCTCCATGCCTGGCCGGCTCCCAGGGAGACACTGAGTCAGGGTAAGGTTGCAGATGGATTTGCAAAATTGTTCCGCGTTCCATGGCCCAGCAGGCGGGGACTGCTCAGCTGTGCCCAGCCCTGGCGTGGCCAAACAATCCATTCCAAACAGCAGCAGGAGGGTCAGAAGTTGGATTAATGCTCACACTGGTGCACGTCCTCCCTGTGGGGTGGTCACATCCATAGGGACTCATGCTGTCTCTTGGAGTGCCATGGGGCTGGGGACCCAGCTGTGCTGCCCCATTATTGGGCATTGAAGAGATACAGGTGTTGGCAAACAGGAAGCATCACATGTGGCTCTGCTCTGTGGCCAGATAACAAGGACATCCTGGTGATGTTGAGTGACATGGACATCAACGCCATCGCCGGCACGCTCAAGCTGTATTTCCGGGAGCTGCCTGAGCCCCTCCTCACTGACAGACTGTACCCTGCCTTTATGGAGGGCATTGGTAAGGCCTCGGGGATGAGAAGGGGTCTGGCCACGCTGCTTTTCCCCACCATCTCACTCATGCAAGGCTGGATGCCCTGTCCTGAGCTCTCTCTCCTTGCCCCCAGCCCTCTCGGATCCTGCTGCCAAGGAGAACTGCATGATGCACCTTCTCCGCTCACTGCCTGACCCCAACCTCATCACTTTCCTCTTCCTGCTGGAGCACTTGAAAAGGTAACAACAGCTTGGCGGTGCGGGGCAGGGAGGGCAGCTCAGCCTTTGGCAACTCAGCCTCAGCTCTTGGCTGCCTCAACCTGTGTGCAGCTGCTGGGATGAGATCTCTGTGGCCTCAGCAGAGGGCAGGGAATCAATTTGGAACCATGCAGTGCCCTCTTAGAAAACAGCACTGCCTCCCTTCCCATCAATCCAGGAGCAAAGCACGTTGTGTTAATCCCCATAACGTGTCTGCAGGGGTCTTCAGCTCCGCAGAGCCATCCTGAAGCTGCATGCAGCACCTTATGCTGCTGTACTTGCATCTCAGCATGGCAGAGGCTGGAGCTCCTGCACCGGCTCCATGTGGGGAAGGGAGAGCCCTTCTGAGACTGGGGAAGGGCAGCAATGGTGGACACGCAGCTGTCAGCAGAGCCCGGACACAGTGTGCTATGAGCTTGGGAATGGGACTGGCAGCTCGTGTTACTCACATCAGGAACTGTTTTTCTCTGGTTTGGCTAAAAGCAAACAGAAAAAGTGATTGCTGCTGGGGGTGGGGAAGGAAAATCCATTTCCATCCCAAGAATTGGGCACAGGCAGTTCCTACATCTGCTGTCCTGGCTGGGGCTCAGCCGAGGAGTGTGGCTACCTGCTGACATGGCAGTGCAGTCCCCCAGTGTGGCTTAGCTGGGGCCAGGGGCCGGTGTGCATCCCCCATGCCCTGCAGGGGCTGGGGCAGGGCGGAGGCTCTAGATCAGAAGCAGGCCAGGCTACACCGCTGCCACATCATACTTGGGGCTCCCAGCCAGGCCTGGCGGCTCCCGCAGAGGCCATGAAGGGGGCTGAGCTCTCTGCCCTGCCCCTGGGTCTGAACAGCCAATGCTGGGGCTGAAGGGTGGGGACGAAGGCTTGGTGTTTGTTCCCTCACATTGCCCCATGGCTGTGCTGCACTGGGAGTGAAGCTCTGGGGGTGAAGCTCACATTTGTGCTCTCTCCCCATCCTACAGGGTAGCGGAAAAGGAGCCCATCAACAAAATGTCCCTCCACAATCTGGCCACAGTCTTTGGGCCAACACTGCTGAGACCTTCAGAGGGGGAGAGCAAAGGACACCTCACCCTGGCATCGGACATCTGGTCCCACGATGTGATGGCCCAGGTAAGAGCCGAGTTGGCAGTGCAGGGGCCCCTAAAGGTCTTCCCCTGTCTGTCCTCACTGGGGATTGCTGCAACAGGGCATGCTGGCAGCACTCTCCTTTTTAGCCTAACACCCCCTGTTTGCCCACCGTAGGTCCAGGTCCTTCTCTACTACCTGCAGCATCCTCCCATCTCCTTCACGGAGCTGAAACGCAACACACTTTACTTCTCCACGGACGTGTAGCCCGCAGGGAGGAGGCACCGGCTGCAAACACTTCCAGCTCCCTGCCAGGGCCATGGACCAGATCACGGCCCCTGAGGACATCAGCCTGGACCCGAGATGTGCTGCCTGCAGCTCCTGTACAATCGTGTACTGATGGCCTGGTGCCGCCCCAGCACCGTGCCGCTCTGTAAAGTAGTCGTGTCTTATGTCCCTTCTTGTGTTCAAGAATTGTTTTTATGTATATTTGTTCAACGGATGAGGTAGTGACTGACAAGGGCTGTGGACACAGGCTCCTCCTTTGGCTTACTTTCTCCTGGATTCCTTCCCACCCGCTGACTCCTGCCCAGCAGCCCTCATCTCACCCTGCTCAAAGCCTGCAGCACCCACCAGTGCCCAGCTGCTGCTTGGCTCCAGTTCTGCTCTGCTTCACTGCCTGCGCCGTTGGACCCCACGCCTGGATCTGGCTCTGCATCCATGAGAGCACAAAGCAGAGCACTGCTGCCTCCCCACCACATCCCTGCTGGGTGCTTCAGGCCAGTCTCCTTGCTCCCCGTGCTCCACCTGCAGGGGTGCAGCATGGTGGTTACCTCCTTTGGTGTTCTGCAGGTCTCACAATTTCCCCCTCACAGGGTCTAGGGTCTAGGCCTTGTTCTTGCCAAGCAAGAGTATTTCCCTGCCATTTCTGTTTCCCTGCCTTAGCTCTGCACGTGCCCCTTCCAGCCAAGCACTGCCACTGGGTTACCAATCCCTGGGCTGCAATGCACTGCAGCTCCATCTGCGTTCCACAACAAAGCTGGCCGAAGCCCCAGTGAGGAAGGGGAGGTTTTGTTCCCCTCTGTGGCCCAGGGAAAGGAGGAGGAAAGCCCCTGTGGGCTCTGTTGGCTCTCACTCTGGAGGCAGCAGTGCTTCTCACAAAGCTGCATTAATGGCTGTGTACCTGCCCTTACAGGTGGGTGCTGGTCTTGCTGGGACACAAAGCCTCTGTTCTGTGAGCCCACTCTGTGTTATCATGGGGAAAGCCCCCTCCTCGATTGCGGTGGCCACACGCACTCCTGTGCCAAAGGAGATGGATGAGAGGTGACCAAGCGTGTCCCCACTACCAGCCTTGCCTTTACCCACCTGACTATCAGACTGTTCCAGGTAGAGCCTGGCTGATGCTCCAGGTATGTCCCAAGCCCACCTCCCTGGGGAAGACAGCACCTGCCAGCCCCCCACCAGCAAAGCAACTACAGGAGAGGAGGTCTTTTGGTCTCCCTCTAAAGGGCTCACACTCCAGCCCCTGCTCCTCTTGACTACCAGCTAAACAGAAGGGAAACAGCATAGCAGAAAATAACCAGGCGTCTGTCTTGGCCCAGGACCCAGGAAGGAGGCCGAGCGTTAGATGTGACTGCGCAACGGATCCCTGTGCGTGTCTGATTTGTTACATGTGTCCAAGTCTCTGTCCACCATAGTGTCATTCCAGATGGAGGCTGTGTACAGCCAAATCCCCCTGTGTGATGGGGGCCGGGGACCACTCCGCACAGCCCCGGCACAGCAGGTGGCAGCTGTCCCTGTGATGGGCTTTGTTTGTCCCCACAGGAGGGGAAGGCAGGGGGGTGAACTTTTGCAGCTACAGGTAGAATAGAACTGTTAATTAATATTTGACTTTCAGAAGTTGTTAAGGATATATTTTTGTTTGTGTTCTGTTTCAATTTCTGTAGATTATAAACTTTAAATGGCTGTAAACCATGTGAAGAGGAAAAAAAACCAACCTGTTAATAAAAACGCAAAGCCCCAACATTTGCACAAAAGGAGCCCTGTGGTGTTGCTGCTTGCACGAGCTGATCACCTTGGCTCCATAACTGCTCCTCTTTCAGTCATGGAAATCTCGCTAGTTGTGTTTCAAGCCAGTGGTACAAGCACAGGCATCGTGCCAGGCAATCTTTTAGGAGACATCTTATGGTTTGGGCTACATCCTTGCATTTCAGTACATTCTGGAGGAAAAAACCTGGACTGTCTGGAGCCAGCTTGTTTAATCAGCCCAGAATTACTCAAGCTTCAAATTCAGCTGACTTGCACAGCTTCTGGCCTGAGGATACTGAACAGGCACAGCGAGGGAGATCAGGCGATAGGAAACCTCAGCTGATAGATCACATGGAGCTGTCTCCCCACTTCTTTCCACGTAGGCATGGGAGGCAGCACGCCTCCAAAGTGACCACTAAATACCCAGCTGGTGTTGCTCTTCCAGGTAAGCAAATGCTGTGCTGTCCTGGGATGTCAAACCCTGAATGCAGAGGGGAAGCAGGTGGGAGAACCCCCATTAGATGTTCACACTGCACTTTAAATCCTGCTGTTTCATTGCAAGGGTGGGTGTTTGGCCTTGCATGGTGGCTCAAAGAAGGTTAAAACAGCATCTGAACTATTTTGAATATAAAAATTATCCCCGGAGGTCCAAAAACAGAATTTGGTTAGAAAAACAAGACAGCTAATAAGAATGCAAATCCAAAGAGGAGCAGCCAGCCAAGCTCTTGAGCAGGTGCTCTGACTTCAGCACCGGCGTTCTGCAGAAGTGATGTTTCACTTTCTCCCAGTTTAACACTGGGGAGCTCAGAGGAGGTGTAGGAAGAGGATGGGAAGCAGACAGCGTGCTAAGTGAACGCCTTGTTATCTGTCTTTATTCTCACAACTCTGCTTTAAAGCCCAGCCATCAAACTGCTGGAACTGAGGGTGTGAGCCTGTGGCAGTATAAAGCAGTAGCAAAACTGCTTGTACTCCCAGGGCGAGGTTAAATCAGGCGAGCCAAACGGCTACAGAGAATTATACATCTGCAACAACCTCTTTTTTACCCTTCAACTGTTTTGTTCATCTGCCAGGAACCACATGGTTCTAAGGCACAGGATTCCTTATTGCTTTTCCCCTTTAAGAAATGGTAAAGAAATCTGGCATTCGTTCTGTACTTGAAATAAGACAAGTTGTACAGATGGTGGTTTGTCTTCGGTTGGTATTTTAAGAAAAGCCTGGAACAAACTATTTCTCCACAGGATCTTACCTCTCCCCAACAGAGCAGCAAGCTGCAAACCAGGAGCTGCTAAACACTTGCAGCATATTCAAACACAATAACATAAACCACTGCATTTCTTTATGAAGATTGTCCTCCTGCCTCTTGATGCTAGCAACAGACTTAATCAAAATCAGACCCAAAGGATCCAGAAAGCTCGGAGTCCAGGCTTGTTTCCTGGAAACTGACAGTCAGCTGATCCGTACTGGTGATACTGCTCCCTGCGCCTGGCTCCATCCTTGCACATTCCTGCAGGCCTGCCTGAAGCAGCGTGCCAAGGCTCGCAGCCAGATTATTGTTAGTCATTCAGGAAAAGCAGCCAGCATCATCCAGCTTGCACTGATCAGGACTCCAAGGCAGTGGAAAGGTAGGCCTGATGGTTCTTCTGCCGTGATGCAGGATCTGAGCAGCAGCACTGGAACGCGAGGAAAACTTGCTCCCGAGGGATCCTGCCGTTACCGCAGATAGTAATCAATTGCTGCGGAAAAAGCAGCAAATCCACCGCAGCCGATCACCCCTGCCTTCATACCAGCTGCAATGCAAAAGGGTGGGAAAGAACGAGACAAAACATGGAAAAAAAGATTCCTCGCAGCAGGGGATGCTGCCACTGCCCAAGGGAAAGGGGGTAACCTGGCACAGATGGGACTGCAGCTCCCACATCTGGATTAGCCTAACACAGTGACTGCGTGCCGTGTTGCTAAGTCTCCCTGCGCAGGCTAGGACAGAAACCAGCAGTGGCCACTGCCGATTGCAGGGTGCTCTGATTCAAAGCAAGCGACTTTATTGATGGGCAAGGATGGACAGCAAAAGCAGCTGCTACTTTGAATGCTCTAAGAGGATTAGGTTCAGGACAGACACAACTTAACAAGCTCAATTAGAAGCTCTTTTGAGAGCATTTCCATTTCTTCTATGCTCTGTAAATTGTTTCTGTCTGTTTGATTTTGTTTTATTAACGATAAGTAAGTGAAGTTTGATATTTCTGCTGAGCAGCAGCACAGCTCTCTTCCTGCCTGGGGCTCTTCTCCAGATGTTAACAGTCAAAGCTTCCCAAGAAGTCCCCACTAGGTCCTGCTGGACGAAAATCTCAGTGCTCCTGCTCTTGTGCAGCTAAATAAAATTGCCTGTTTGATTTGAGACCGGAGAAAGGAGGGAAGCATTGTACAAGCTGTGCAAGTTAACAGAGTTCCTGCCAGTGAAACAATATATATGAGTAGAGCTCTATTAACACAAGACCTGTAACTTCAGCGAGTTGCTCAGAACATATTTTTGGCTCCCTCTCCATGACACCCCAGAAGCATGTGGATAGCTAGCACCATTTCCTGATTTGCTTTCAAGTCACTTCTGTTCATTTTTCTCCGATCTCCCTGTCCTGTACAACCAGCCTTCCCTACCCACACATATCTTTCAAGATGACAGGAAAACGACAGAGATGGCAATTCTGCCAACTTCAAGCACATTCTCATGCTGACATCTACACAACCCCATACAAAGAGATTTGCAATGTGTGCTGCCTTAAAAATGCTGCTTGTTACCATACCAAACTGCTGCCTTATCACAGTAGCTGCTAGCAGGCATCACCAACCTCTGAAGCCAATTGCTCCTCCCGTGATGCAGCCACTAATAACACTGTTCCTCCAGTCTGATTTTCCACGATACTGTGGAATTAAAAAACAGAGACAACAAGTAAACATGGAATAACAGCTCGACATCTGTGCTAATACCAAGGGAGATGAAGCGACCTTCCAGCCCTGTTTCAGATGAGGATGTTTTTCCCTCTGCTCTCACAAGATGGCCCCCCTGCACCGTAAAAGGTTTCGCACGGCCAGGGGAGGGAAAGGAGCGGGTCAGCAGGAGAGGTGAGACACATCCGCATGGTGCAATGCAGTGCTGCAGCAGACTCTCAGGTGAACCCATACAGCCCCCAGAAAGCAGCACTGTGCACTGGAAGCAGCTCACAGATTTTAAAGGCACTGTGAGCACAGCCTGGCCTTGCAGCCTGCTGCTCAGCACAGGGAGAGGATCAGCACCCTGCGGGCAAACATTAGCTATGGAAATAGCATGAGCACGCTAGTTCTTCACCAGCGCAGCATCTGTTTGTTCTGCTTCATTGTGCAAACAGATACACTTTTCTTTTACATAAGAACTAATTGTGTTTTTCAATTAAAGGACAGTACTGACATTCATAACAGACTCATCTTCCTACTTAAGAAAATGGATGACAGCTTTAATGCCGAGCTGCACGAGGTCATTTCTTGCTGTAGGGGCAAGATGAAAACAGGTCTATTATTTCAGAACTTTCATCAAAGGATCCCTTTCTGCACATACAATTTTTAGAGGCTCAGATGGCCATGTTGCAACTCCCAGTTTGATCTTTTAATGCAACAAGTTGTTTGGAACTCAGGTTTCAAAAAGTAATGCCAAATTCCAGGACTTGAATGGGAAAGGTCTTCACTATTGCACGCAGGTCTGCTTATTCCATCAGAGAACAGCTCTGAAAACCTTTAGAACTGAAAAGCTTAAATGAGCAAGAAGCAAAAGGAAACGAGCCAATCCCTCATCAGAGTGCAAGGGGGCTTGGACTCATGAAAGGTGATCACTAGTGTATAATAAAACCTTATGTAATGTTTGAGAGTCATTACTCACTGATTCCACCACGCACTCAGTGCAGGAGAACATGGCGCCCACGATGGCAAAGTTCTTGGCATAGGAAATGCCGCGCTGCCCCATGTCCTTCAGCACCTCCTTGGCAGTTGGGGTGCGATAGGGGTCCTTGGGGTCGAAGCCCACATTGGTGTCGATGCCAGCAGTGAAGATCCCAAACGCTCCTCCGAGGACGAACCCTGGGAAAGACGATGGCTATGAAAAGAACCTCTGGATTGGAGCAGAGGTCTCCTCACAGGATCAGAGCTGCCCCGGTCCTACGGGCAGCACGAGGGGCTGTCCCTCTTTGTGGTGGGCAATGATGCTGACCCTCCTTTACTGCAGGCACTCAGCATGGAACACTCTTCTTTCAACTGGGGAGGGAAGGAAGGAGACCCCTCCCCGGGCCCACGGGCCAGAACGGGCCCTGAGAACTGAGGGGGCTGCAGCCTCTCTCTCAGCCCCAACCCCTCCCGGTACCGCGGGACCCCCCGGCTCTCCCAGCCCCGCCGCACCCCCCACGCAGGCCAACGCCGCTTTGAAGGCGCAGCTCTCCATGGCCCTCTCCACCATCTTCTGCTCCTTGCTCTTGGGCGGGCTGGGAATGCCCCCGAAGGTGTTGGGGTCCCACACTCGGGGCCGCCGCTGCTCTCCCACCAGGTGCTGCAGCAGAGCGCTGTACTGCAGAGGCGGCGGCGGCTGCGAACCGCCCGGCGTGGAAGGCGGCGGTGCGCCCGCCATCGCTGTCCTCGGCGCTGCGACCCGCTCCAGCCGCCGGCTGCGCGGCTTCCGTAGCGCGGAGGGAGCGGCGCGCGGGTGCCGACGGGTATCGTAGTTTCGCTGAGGGAGACGCCCGCGGTGCGGCGCGATGCCGCGACTCCATCTCCCAGCGTGCGCCGCGGCCGCGCCAGAGCGGGAAACTACAGCTCCCGGCATGCTTCGCGCCGAGAAACGCGATTGGCCGCGATGAGGGCGGGGAGCTCCGTTACCCGGCGTGCCACCGCCCCCTGGCGGCCGTTGGGGCCGGTGCAGCTGAGGTGAGCGCTCCGGCTGCCCGAGCATCCTCCAGGGCGGCAGCGGAGGTAGGCGGCGGCAGAGGAGGCGGCAGCAGGTGAGAGCGGCTTTGAGTGGGATGGAGAAGGGCTGGGAGCGGGCTGGGGGCAGCCGCGGGCTGCGGGAGGGCTGAGGAGCCGCAGTGCGGGGCCTCTCTGCCTCAGGTGTGCGGGGAGGCGGGAAGCTCTGAGGCGCCGTTCCTGCCCGCCGCTCCGTCTGAGTGACTTCTGGGCGCAGCAGGTCAGCCTCGCCATGGGAGCTGCGGGTCTTGCGGTGGTGTTCTTGCACTGCACCGGGCCGAGCCCTGAGGATGTCCCTGCGGTGGCGAGGCTTCATCCGATGGCCCTCAGGGCTCTCCTGAGGTGTGTGAAGGTGCGAGGTGCCAGGGATCTCCTGCGGCCATCCGAGCAGCCCCTGGTGCAGGGAGGCACGGAGAGGCAGCTTTACTTCAAAGGTGCTTAGAGAGCAAATGAAAGTCTGCCTTTCTGTCACAGAATGCAAACTGAGCTCACAGCAAGTCATATAGAAACCTCAGTCCTTCCGTGCTTGTTCTGTTTGGTAATGGGGTGGGAAATTCTTCTTCAGTGCCCCCCTCAGCGAATGAGGTGCTGCCAAGGTTAAAAGCCTTCACCCACAGGTGTATTCCCTCTCATTTTGCTGTTCTGTGGAGCACAAGCAGTGCTCTGCTCAGCCCAGCAGACTGCAGATGGGTTCACTTGGAGGAAATAGCCTTGGTGACTTCAACATTGGCTTGGTTTAACTTTGTTACCCGTACGTAAGAAAATAGCTGAGAAATAGCTGTGATAGTTTCAGCAGGATGCTTCAGATCGTGTGCTTCAAGAATTGAAAACGATGTAAAAGATTTGCTCCGTGTTCTTCAGCAGTGAGTTAAGTATGAAATCTTCTTGATGCCATGCGGTGCTCTGAAAGGTGACTGCTTAAAAATCCAACAGATCCAAAATAATTTTTTCTTATTTCTTCTTTCTTTTAATTTTCTTAAACTTCTTGCCCTGTGTCTTGTTTGCACTGGATATGCAGGTTCAAATAACAACCTGGATTGACTGAGTACCTCTTCAAGTGAAGTGACGAAGTTATTTTCATCAACTTTCCTCTTTTCCTCTTAAATTCCACTGCCCTCTGCTGGCTGGACCATCAGACCTGCCCAGAGCTCTTCCCTTGCTATTCTTTTACTCTTCAAGGCTTTTTGTATTTTAAGATCAGAAACTGTTGCAAAGCGTGCTGTTAATATCTACTACAATGGGATCTTCATACAAGAGGGGAGGTTGGTGGCAGGTTGAGCTCCCTAGGGAGCCCTGAACTGTAGATCTCAATCTTCTCTTTGATCCACACTAACCTAGTTGAGCTGATCTGCAAAGCCTATTTTCCAAAGACATAAAGGGAAGAAAATATGTTGGAGCTGGCATTTGATGCTGCGAGTTTACACGTGAAGCTGGAATACTGCTTTTAATTTCTTTTCTGTGTTTCCAAACCCAAAATCACAAGTTTATGTTAGCTTGTGAATATAACAATATTTCACAAGTTTTTTCACCTGCGTTTATATGAAACAATTATGTTTATTTATGAATATGTATATTGAATTAAACATTTCTATTTCCCCTTTAGGTATTTACCCTTTTCTTCTTCATGCTGTTCTCTGTTCCACCTTTGAACAAATATATGTGCTTGAAAAGTCCTTATGGGATTATCCAAATAGTCACATGAGGGAAGTCAGATGGAACATCAAGGCTTGGAGAGGGAATCTGAGAGTCTTAGGCATCCCTGATGAGTTGTTCATGTGAAATTTCAAGTTGTTTCTTCCTCGCCCCAGGTGAAACCTCTTCATTCTGTGTGTGTCCTCTCAGTGTGATGACAGGATGAGGTGCAGCTGACAGTGGCTTTGCTCAGGCCTGCGATGGACCCACTGTGCTCAGCACTTCAGCAGAGGGCAGCATGCAGGAATGTTACACGACTGTATTTCACTTGGCCTGTGCAGTGACTCGGTTGTTATCCCGCATTGCAATGTTCTCCAGACAGGGTTCTGAAAGGCAGATTGTTCAAACGTTGGAAGTAATGGTTTTGCTTGAAATCCTGGTTTTGTGTGTCCCTCCAAGATCTTGAATAGGCTTCAGCTGTCATTTTTGGCAGTGCTGATTGAAAACAAAAGCCAAAGGTTTTTGTAGCTCAACTTTATTTTGTAACACGTTGTCAGTTCCTGAGTCCTTTCTGAAGCAGGAAGTGGCTGAAGATGGAAGCTGAAAACAGTGAGATTAATCCATTCTTTTTCACTCTCACACCTACCTGCCTGCCCCTTTTCCTTTCCCAGAACTGCAGCAGCCCAAGAGACAGAGAGGAAGAGAGGACAGGTTTACTGATCTCACGGAAGAAGGAAAACCTTTCCATTGCACCACGAGCAGAAGAAAACACGGCAGGTTTGCAGTGCTGGTAGCTGGCTGCTCTGCAGTCCTTGCCTCTCCTGGAGCCCATAGGCTCTCCATGGCTACAGAGGGCTGTGCTGGGCTCCATTCCAGCAGTACCACCTAACGTTCTTACTCTGTAGTTCTCATATCCATGAACTGAGGCTGCAGCTTTCCTACCTTTCATCCAGGTTCTAAATGTAATGATTTTTTACCTATGAGATTTTAAGTTGTTGGCTTTGAAAGGACATTACAGCAATAAATTGCTTTGTGAAATATGCCTAAATCCAGTGGATTTAGTTGCTTTAACATCTGTGCTTCCCTTGGCTTATGAATTTAACCAATTTTATGTTTGATAGTGCAGTTATTTTTTTCTTCTAATACTAAAAAAGAAGAAAGGCTTTCTATGCTGGAGAATCTGTCACTATGATGGCAGACAACTGAAGTATTAACAACAGGTCACATTGTGGAGATGGCAGCAGGTATATGGGAGGTAAAATGGGAAAGTCAGCCAGCCTGACTCGCTGGTTTTTCTTCAGGTCAGGTAGACTGCAGTGATATAGACACAGATTTACAGAAGATCTCCTTTTAGGATCAGCAGGCCTGTTCCTTGCGGCTCTGATTTGTAGCTCAGGGAAAAGGAGCAGGATGTGTGGTTTTTGAGCTGTTTGATCCTCTCTTCCTTCTCTTTAACGTTTTATATCTGAAAGTGAACATCCTTTTTGACCACAGTTCCTTCAGTTTTGTCCCACTTCAGTGAGCTACCGGTTTCCTTCTTCCCAGTTTCCCCAATACTAGGCAAACTTTTGCTTTGATCTAAGAAATCTAAAATGCACTCGTGTTGTGGGCTAAAAAAAGATCTGTGTAAAGTTTCAGACATCATCGTCTCCCAGGGATTTCAGCCGTTGCTATAGGAGCCCAAACTCTCATTTGAGAGACCTTTCCAATGTGAAGAAGTTGATACTGGGGAAAGTTGTCATGGAAATATGCAGCAGAAAGGGAATCTCAAGGTGATAATTGTTAGCTGCCTTAGCCAGCTCGCAGTGACTTGGTGGCTGGAGATCTGGTCCTGCAGATTCTTTGTTGCATTCCACCAGTCTGGAAGGCTACAGATTCAAACCTCAAGAAATGCACTGTTTGACATTCATAGCTCTAGTTCTCCCAGAGCTCTTCATCAAAGTGAGCTTCTTACGTACCTGCATGCACATAGCAGTGTGACACTGGGGCTGCCCCGCTGCTGTTAGGTGGTGCTGCGCTGCTCGGACCTGCAGTGCCACCGATGTCCCCTGCAGGAAGGAAGGCCCTCTGAGTGCCATGGGCAGCAATACGTCCCACAGCCCAGCCCTGCTGCGGTAGTGAGCCACAGCACAGCCCCCTGTTGCACTTCTGGAGGGGTTCATAGAGCTATTGCTGCTGAAATGTGACGGTGGAACAAATTTTTAAATAACTAAAAGTTGCTTTTTGTGCCAACTTCAGTGCTGCCTCAGGTTTGAATGGAACGAGCGCTTTGTGTGCAGCCAGGAGGTGTAAGAGCAGATCTCTGGATGCTCCCTGTCCACTTACTCTGTTACCAGACCCAGGTCTCTGGTTTCAAGCTTTTTCTGCTTTTTCTTAATAAAGCTTCTTGATCCCTAATAGAAGTGATTATGGGAGAGCTGCCTTTGAGTATCTCATACTGGTGTTACCATGGTAACTGCTGCAGGGGTTTCTTGCTGGGAGAAGGCTTCCAGCTCCCTGAGATACAGCGGGGCAGCTCAGGCTGTTTGCACGCTCTGAATGAGATTACCCACGACATCAAAGAGGAAATACATTAGTTCTTCACTTTGATAGTGAATGTTAATGGTAATGGAAGGCTGTAAGATTGATGTTTCTCACATTAGATGTCCTCAGGTGAGAGAGCTGAGGTCGGTTATGTGGGCAGTGAGAGCCCAAACTTTTTGCTAGGAGCATGACTTTCCCAGCAGCTCCTACAGCAATAGAGAAGCGTGGCTTTCCTTGATCAATCCTGTGCTTGACCTTTCCATTGATACTGCCAACAAGTGAACTAATTAATCTTAATGAAGGATATGGAATTGTGGTACTCACTACAGGAACAGACATTCCTATTCAGGTTTATTCAGTCTGTAGTAGAAAAAAAATGATCTGCCTTCTATGTTCTCTTTTCTCTGTATTCCCAAACTGGCTGGGCACCACGCTAGCACTGCTAGTTGGGCACTACCAGAGCAACTTTGCTGTCCTGAACTTCCTAATCTTCCCCTCTGTCCCACACAGCGGCTTCCTTTGCCAAGTTCCTTGGTTGTTCTTGGCCAATCAGTCCTCATTTGCTCTCTACCAGCAGTAGTTCCTTTTGCCTTCCCCAAGTGATGGGTTCCCAGGTGTCCCTCGCATTCCCTCCTGCAGGTTTCTTAACAGTTATGCTGTATCACAGCCATTAATGCTGGAGGAGATGAATCTCTATGTTTGAGAGCTTCAAGTTTCAGGCAGCAGTGAGTGCAGTCGTTCAAACAAGTTGACTGGAAGCAATCAGTTAATTTAGATTCCCCCTTTTTCCTGCATTTGATTAGGCCACCAAAGCCAAATCTTTGTGCTGCAGTTCTGGGTGCCTATCAGTAACAGCAGGCCCAGCTTCTGCAAAGCTGCTGACTTCCTATTGGCTGGGGCTGAAATCAATGAGTGCTGTAGATCCTTACCAGCTCTTGATGCATTGTCAATAAATTAAGTGCCTTTGTTTCACTGTCTTTAAAACAGGTAAGGGTTACCAAGCTGCTGGTGCTGTTTAAACTATCTAAAAAAAAAAAGAAATAAGAAATGCAGAGTAAGAACAAGAATGGAACTTCAGGATATTATTGTATAGAAAACCAAATCTTGCAAATAGCTTTTTTTTCTTCTGAAATCCTGATCTTCATTAGAGGGCATGTTAGTCTTCTGGGGTTTGAGCTCCTTGTGCTTCATCACTTTTCTCACTTAATTTGTCCTAGTTCTTGCTGCTGCTGGGCTCCCTGTGATGCACACTTTGCATCTAGGCATGCCCTGCAGTTCTGGTTCCATTCAGGGTCTGTCAGCACTTCCAAATCCTTCCAAAACAAAGCTGGCACCTTGGCTCTTTTATTTCTATCTCCCTGAAATGCATCAAGAAGTTCAAAGCAGTGGGATGGGGCGTTCCTATACCATCCCATTGGGGTTTCTGCTTCGAAGGCAGCCTCCAGCACACATCATCTTTGATCCATAATTTTCCTGCACAGCTCTCCATTGTCAGTGACCAGCAAAAACTTAAAGAAGTGATTTTTCTGTTCATCTTTCTAATGGGTGCCTGTTCTGATTCCTCTCCTGTAAGGTGATCAAATGCTGGCTTCTCCAACATGAAGTCTGTCCTGGCCAATAAGGAGAGAGAGCAAATCGGGTTGTGCAGTACTTTGCCTGTGTAGGTAGTAAGAACTTGCTGTGCAACTTGAATATGGTAATTCTGTGTTGTTAATGCTGTGTTAGAGCCTATGCATCAGAAAACTAACAGTGAAGAGCAATAAAGACCAGGGGTGTTGTTCTTCTAAGTCTTTTAAATTTCATTACTGGAATAAAACAGTTAAGTGAGAAAGAACACTGGAAATCTTATCTCCCCTTTCAGGGAAGAGAGCTGAGCATTGCGTTTTTCACACACTGAGATGTATCTGCATTTTGAACAGAGGAGCAGCTGTAGTAACACTGCCTTTGGTTTGCTGCTGTGCCTCTTATGGCTGAGAATTTTTCTCTGCAATTTTCAGATGTCCCTACGCCAACTTCTCTAGATACGTGTGTGGAAAAAAGCAATGAGGCTTTTATTTTATATGTATGTATTGCAGAGAGCTTGTGAATATTTCTTTGCCATGTAGATTTCCTTCCTCATTCTGTCATGTTCTGTGGGTTGGATTTTTTTGGTGGATAGATGTCTATTAACTCTTCAGTGATTTGGATGGAGATGACAGAAATACTGCAAGATGCTGGCTCCTCTCACAGACTCTTACATTTGAATCAGGCAGTTTCCTAATTCTATTTTTGACGTACTTTGTGGCTGTTCCCTTGGAAATTTTCAAGTTGTTGTCTGGTCTTCTGAAATTTTGGCAATAGGCAACAAAGGAAGCTGCTTTCAAGCTGCTTTTTCTGTCTCTTGTAGCACTCCATGTTCCATAAATCATATCTGCTTTCTTCCAACTTTAATGATTCTAGTTTCTTCCAGCAGAAATGTTTGCTCTGGTTGCAGGTCAAAGCTGGTAGCTGTGCCACAGGGTACGTGCTGCAGGTGTACACATGGGGAAGTGACATTGCAGGAGAAAATCTGAGTTCCCCCATTGAGTGTAGGCAGTATTTCTTGTGCTAGTGGAGCCTTCCTGGCAGCAGTTCCAGGACTTTGCTTTTTCTATCCGCCCATTCCATCGGCAGCAGCATCTTGTTAGCCGAACAGCGGTTGTTTTTGTCAGGATGGAAAGCGGTGCCCCATGATTCATTCTGCACATGTCTGCTGGCTGCTTGAACTTCCTGACATCTGTAGTGGAACTGAGAAAATAAAGAAGTTTGTATCAGTTACGGAGGAGGAGGAGGAAAGGGGAGTAAATACTGACCAAAGCCACGGCCTCAATCCACTTACACCTGCTGTCTGGTGCAGACTTTCCCTTGTAATTACTCTTGGCACATTACTGTCTGCAGTTATAAAACCAAGTCTTATAGCTGAATTACAGACTTGCTTTATAAAAGATGTTGTTATTGACATAATAGCCTTGCTTACGGAATCTCTGTCTCTGTAATTAAGGTTGTTGCATGCACAAAAGCAGTTAAAAATAGTATAAATGTCTGTAAATGCAAAGATACTTTTCATTTGTTCCTCCTATGAGCCTTTTTTTTTTTTTTCCATGCAGCATGTACGCTTGAGTCTCAAATGAGCTGTGCCACTGGAAGTTCTGCCCTTTGCCCATTCCTTTAAGTTATGTGCTATCCTATTTGTTCCTGTGAAACTACACCAGTGATGCAGGTTGCACCATAAAGCACCTGCAGTCCTCACATGCAGGGTTATGAAGGTGCACTGGTGAGTGAGATTCAGTCTAACTTTCGTCCCTTGTTAGAAGAGCTGGTGGGTTTGACCAGCATGCAACCAGTGTGCCATCTGTTCATGTGTTTGTCTGCTGACCAGACTTACTGGTTGGGTGAGAACCTGGCAGTTTGTTTTTTATTTATTTTTTTTTAACAAAGAAATAAAGAAATTCATATTGCTGCTGAAATTTTCTCATCCTGGCTGTGTGAAAGTAATTATGGTTAATGCCCTGGACAGGCCGCAGGCTTTCTTTATGACCTCAGCCAACTCATTTTAGCTGTCTGTTTCTGGGCTCTTTGTTCATTAAACAGAAATGCAGTTTTTCAGTTCAGAAGGTTTTGTGTTGAATAATTCTTTGGTCTAAGTGAAGAGATCAGATGAATGTAAGTGCTACTGAAAAACTCAATAAACAAATGTATGTCTGGTCTTGCTGGGCCTGGGGAAATTGTGTGGCACTATTCTAGCAAAACTGAAGTATGTAAATGCCGTCAGTACTTTTCATTTCTATTCAGCTCTGAAGGTTGTCCAGTGCCAGAGCAGAGCTTCTTGCAGCCTGCCTTACTGTCTATGCATGTGTCACTGAAAGCGGTGTTGCTTCCTTAGGAGGAGAAACGCCATTTGTGTAGATGGCAACACCTGCCATGGCTTGGTTAATATGAATGACAGAAAGTACTGCTCTCTTATCTGAGCTGTGAATAATCTCAGACTCTAAATATCAGATGTATAGAAATAGGCATTGATAAATTCTTCTGCCTGTGATGACCCAGTCCGTCCTCAGGTACTGAAGAAACTGGCAAAGCAGGCTGGGTCAGGTTGGTACTGCAGGTATCTGAGCTCCCAGCGTCAGCTGTCCTGGTTGGGTGAGTGCTTAGGGGCTTACAGCTGATCGTGGGTGCCTGGCACCCACCAGACATTGACCAGTGATGCTCTCAGTGCCTGATCTGTCACAGCCTCTGACACTTTCCTTCCTGTTTTCAGAGACTACATTTTCTTCAGAAAGATTAAGCAAGTGGGTTGTTGATCCCCCTCATTCTAGTCCCTAAATAGAGACCAGACTTCTTGGTCAGCTCAAGAAAAGTCACTCAGGATTGACTCCAGCTATTTCTGCTAATGTGTCTGCCCAGGGTCCAGATCTGCTTTTAAGGATGGTGAGATATTGAAAGAAAACTTTGATCTGCTTTAATCCGTGAAGCATCTCTGTGCTTTTGAAATGGCTTTCTTGAATAAATCTGCCTTGCTTTGATGAAAATATAATATTTCTCTTTCCCCTGAGTAAGCAAGTGTGCATATATGTGTGCGTGTGTGTGCTGAATGCCAAAGTGCTGGTGAAGCCAGCTTGCTTCCGTATGTGAATCATTTCTCAAGCAGCTCTCTGTCTCGCTGCAATGTGGTTTTCCTCTCAGGGAAGCGCTCAAGCCCTGTATTTTCAGTCTGGCTTGCACATGCTGTCAGAAGCTAGTGGGAGACAGTTTTCTTCTTAATGCAGAAAAGAGGACAAGCTTTCACTGTAAGTATTTTACTTTCTAAGCTGGGAATATCTGTATCAGGATTGTAGGAATGTCGGCATGTCTTAGAGTGAATGAGCCTGTAATGCTCAGCAGTACTTTTTTTTTGTATTTACTCTAATTAAACTTAAATTGCATGAAACGCAAATATGTAGAGTGCAAACAATTCTGTGTTACAGAAAATAGGCTGGGGGTGATCTAGAAGTCGTGACAACTACCAAAAAGTGAATCTGGAGAGCTGGCTACTGTGTTTTCTCCTGCGTGGCTTCAGAGAATTGGGTGACAGAAGGGCTGAAGCTATTTCTGTGCCTGCATCTCCTTTCTTCTCTGGGAGCCGAGTGTTGCGTTCCAGCAGTTAAACCAAGCAGGAGCATGAGCAGGCTTTCCTCTGCTACTGCGTGTTCACGCAGCCCATTGAGGAAAGGGCAGAAAGGAACAAGCTGCTAAACAAATAGCTTTGGCAGCTCGCTTCTCCGCAGGGGACCAGTGACAGCACTGCAGAGCCTGCCAGACAGTCCCATCCCGTAGCACCAAAGCATGCAGCTGCTCTGGGTTTTGCAGGGCCCTTGAGCTGTACCACTTTGACAGGTGGCCTTAAAAGTATACTCTGGGCTGAAGCATGTTTGTAATAATGGCAGTGTTTATATAGCATGTAACATAGCTTTGCAAAGTTGTGGAGAGAGATGTTAATTACCGTTCTGTATAAGTAGCAGTAAGGGATTACTGGTAGAACTGGTTTGAAAACAGGGATTCTCTACCACCTTCTCTTGTGTGCTGTCTTAAGTTCTTATGAGTGTCCCCTACTAGTTCTTTGTTTCACCTCCAGGATGCTGGTCCTCTTCTACCCTTTCTAAACTGTGAAGCACTTTCTGTCCCTGTAAGCTTAGCTGTGGAGAGGATGTCTGATTTGCAGAAATATGCTGGGTTTTTTCACAGCGTGGCAGATGACTAACGCAGGGATACCTCATCCTAACGTGCACACATGTACTACCTCTTCACTTTCCTCTGTTTTAAAACAATTTCATTTCGTTATGCAGCACACCACAGTGGGTCCTTTAGTCCCTCAATGGTCCAGTAACTCATAGTCACAAACCCCTGATACTGTTATTTAGATCTGTTCAGTTCCTGTTCAGTATGACTGTTTTTTAAATTCAGAAGTCTTCTAGCTTCTCCTTCAGGTTTAGAATTTAGTACTGTTGTCTTCCCAAAGTAGCCTTTCAGCTTGAAGTTTACAACATCACTCGTAAAAGTTCAGGAGTTCCCCATTTCCTAATTTTAATAAATGGCCTTCTCAGCACCTTGACAGAGGATAAATATCTCCTTAAGGAATGGCTTCCAGATCTCAATTATTTCCCCCTGTTGCGATGGGTGGAAAAGGGGAATCAGGGAAACATCCCAACATGTGGCAATATTTTGGAGCTGAGGGCAGAAGCAGGAGGAATCTCGAGGCAGTGCACTGGCTGTGGTGTCACCCAGCTGTGCATCACACACACAGGAAACTTGCCAGTCTGTGTTTATGTACCAGTTAGTTGTACTGTGCAGTGACCTGCTGTGCATCTCTGCCATCCTAAAAATGGGCTCATTCCTTCCCTTTCTTGTACCTCTATCTATCCTCCTATGCTGCAGAAAAACGTAATTGCAGGTAATTACCCATAAAGCCACTTATAATTATTCTTCATTTCTCTAGCAATTATATAGCTCTTGCTCTATATAAAATGAAACCTTTTCCTTCTCCTTATGAGTTGACAAAACACAAGTGTTAACCGTATGTGTCACTTTCTTTGTGCTGTATTCACTGGGGCAGCAGTTCAAAGAACCTGGGTTAATGGGCAGTAGCTACTTTGAAATGGTTCAAAAACATTTTGTTCTCAATGTGCAATATACTGAACATAAATTAAACCCTTGTATTCAGGGCAGGGACGTGGTGGGGAAAGCCCCGAGTGACCTAATTCTCTGTGGTGATGGCGATTGCAATTCCAGAAGCTAGGAAATTCAGGATCATGGCATCGTTTTCTCCCTTCTGGGGAAGATTGTCATTTATTGTGCAACCTGTGCATAGGCCTTCCATGCTTTATGTGCCTTCCCAGCTGGAGAACATGCTGCCTGTGCCCACTTCCCTTCTTTCAGTGTTTCCATCCTACCCTGCATGGTTTTTTTTTCCTGATGTGCAATAATCAGTAGCACGGTGCATATGGGTTCAGAGTTGCCACATTCAAGTTCATATCTCTGTCCTGCAGTTAGTGGAAGACCCTACCTGCCTTTTGGATGAGACAGCATCCACTGCAACCAGAGAAGCACAGCAAACTGCTTCCTGCAGGCCAGCACATGGTTGTGCTTCATCAGTTCAGGTCTCGTGCCATCCAGCTGGTAGCTGCTGCTGTTGTCTGGAGGACATGCGAGCAAAACGCTGACAAATCAGCTGATACCTTTGCTTCCCTATCCCTGTATTTTCTGTATGATGGAAGGTCACTGGGAGGTAGCACAGCTTCTCTTCTGAGATGCGTGGTGGTGGCTGGTTAGATAATCAGCGTGAGGAAGGAGGGGGCGGAGAAGATTGAATATCCATGGACAAACAGAAGATGGTTCTCAGCTGTTTCAGAGCACAGCGTTAGCTTGGTGGGTTTCTTGTATGATTTTTGGTCCTGTTTTATAAATGATCAGGAATGTAGAACAAGGAGAAAAGAAATACAGCTAAATATCTCCTCTGTCCATACACGCACTTGAGGGTTTTACTGTAATTTCTGTGTTCTATATGGGATCTAACTAAGCAAAAAAAAGTCACAAATCACAAACTCCAGGGAGAATGTGTGTAGGGATGAGCAGCAGGATGTGTGCTGCTCTGTCTGTGCCTGGAAAAATCATCAGTGACACCAATGGCTGGTGTGGGAAGAGAGCATTTTGTTCTGAGCAGTGCTGAGAAGCAGAGCTGTGAGGTTGCTGACCTGGAGCCTGTCAGCAATGTTGGGATGGGTCAGGAGGTGGAGTTGCTGACCAGAAACTCGTCCTTTGTGGCTACCTGGAACTGTCATCACTTGGACCATTTCTGCTGTTATTTACATGTCTTCATAACCATCTGGTGTATTTATACACTGATTATTACGTATCTATTTTAGAGAATTACGAACGCTGAGAAATAAGCAGGAAATGCTTTAAACAACACAAACAACCAGAGATTGTCCTACCTCAGTAACCAGTGGTGCAGAAACTGTCTCTGAGAGGTAAAGGGGGGGTGTCCATAGGCTGTGAGCTTCTCACTGGTGCTGTGAAGGGAAGGGGGAGGAACTGGCTCTGCTGTAGTTCCTCATGCTGTGGAGGAAGGGAGCCCTGTGCTCTACTAAGAACGTTCTTATCTGAGGCTGTATTGAAGGCTTTCTTCTGAGATTTTTAGGAATCCTGCAGAAGAACAGATTTTGTTCTGTTAGTTGCTTGTTCTGTCCTTGAAAAATGCCTCAAAAAGCAAACAATTTTCAGATAACAGCGGAGATGTTGGAGGTGTGACCCTCCAGCTGTATCAGAACTACTGATGGTCAAATTCTTGGAGTGCTGCTTTGTTCTGTATTCTTCCAGTGATGAGTTTGGTGACCTTGGGCATGCTTTTCCATTTGTGCTTGTTTTCTATCTAAAATCAGTCTAAGATTTTAACTCCATGCAAAACTGTTTGGATTCTTTCACTGCTTGACTGTGTTACTGCACTTTTTTTTTTTTTTTTTTGAGCTACTGAAATTAAAAAAAAAAACAAAAACACAAAAACATTTTTGCTTGAGGCATGCATAAAACCAACCATTTTTTCCCTGCTGTAGCAGTCTGGACATGAAAATCTCAAGGTGTTGTCTTGTTGTCTTGTTCTTTACCATCAAAACATGAAAATGCAACCCCAAATGCAATGGGAAAGTATGTCTACTGAGATAGACCAGAGGAATCAGCTGCCTGAGTGATTGGGGTCAGGTTTAAAATTGATTCTCTGTTTTTTATGGCCAGCAAGAGTGTCGAGTGTGAGGTGCTGGCACACTTTACCTATTACCTATTCCTCTGGGTTGATTTTTGGGTGGAAGAGGGTGATCTGACTTGTGGTTTTGAGGGATTTTTAATGCAACTGCAAGGAAAGTTAAGCTTTGCACTGGAAAAAGTTCCAGCAAGTCTGTTTGGACGAGTAACAGAGGATTGGTGCTCTGAGATAGTATGCTTTCAGTAAGTATGATGCTAATGGAAACTAAATGAAAAGAGGATGTTGAGGACAGAAATATTACACACAGAGCTGAAAGGAACTGATACCTAAGGAAAATTGCTAATGATGACCACAAGGGAGTAACAGATTGTTTTTGATTGTTTGTCTGGTCTTCCTTGCAGATAGAACACAAAAAAGCAACCCCCACCCTGGCAATTCCTGTGTCAGACTGTGGGCTTCCCTGGTATTGACCTGGATGGATTCCAGGTATCAGCCCGAAAACCAAACATGACTCATATGGAAGCATCTGTCAAGCCTGAAAATGAATTTGTGTGAAAGGCAGAAAATCATTCTGCTTTAGCATAAAAGGCTGTCCTGCTGTACAGCTTTCTGCAGGCCAGAAGGGAAGGTTTTGCACTTTTTGGAACTCACTGTCCATCTCTGTGTTCCAGCTGATAGTTTGATGATGGAGTTTGGTTATGTTAGGAGGACAGCATGAGCATGATGCAAATTTTGCATGCCAAAAACAACAACAGCAAACAGGAGAATTGCTTTGCTTTCATGAAAGTTTGTACTGAAGGTCCTGGAATAGTCTGACATCTTGATACAATAAAAGTAAATGAATTATAGGAAAATGGCACTGGGCTGGGGCTCTCAACCAACCTGACTAACAGACAGCTGTCCTTTGAGAGTCTTCTCTCCAAAGGTGGTCCTTTTGGCCTCATTTTTCAGAAATGGGCGTTCATGGGTCTCAATGAACCTGCCAACTCATACATTACTCATTACAGGTGAGTGTTATAAAGAATGTTGACAATTATTCTTCTCATTTGTTTGGCCAAAGCAACTTGAATGATTCTACTTTATAGCTGGGCTGCTCTATAGAGTAGGCAGCATTGCACACAGAGATGAGCACTGAAACCTAAATCATGTGAAATACAGGAGTACAGAACTCTGTGCACGTCCTCCTTCTTCTCTGGGACTTTCTTATGGAAATTAATTTCTGCAAACGTTACTGAGATCTGTGTACTTAGCAGTGGAACTGCTGGGTTTCCTGGTTGTAGAAAATTTCTGTTGCCATTCAGTTCAAACTAATCTTATTTAGTTATTCAGAGGAAAGCAGCCTTTGACAGCCAGCAGAATGTTTCCTAGAAGTTTGTTCATCAAGATGGGTGGATTCCTCCTTTGATGGATAGCCAAGCCTTGAGATCCAAGGGACCTGCTGCTGTTTCTGCTGATGCTGACTGCCTGTGGAGTTGGAATAAATTCTGTATCCAGTTTTTCTAGCCGTAAAATGGGAACGTAGAATAGGCTGGTTTTGAAAACTTTTATTAATAAGTGCATGCAGACTGACTGATGAAGAATCGTCTAGGTTTTCCATCTTTAATAAAACAATAGCACTGTAAGTAAAATGGACCATTTTTCCACTCTAAAGCTTCCTCTGGCAACTTCCAAGACAGTCCACACTGAGATTGTCCAAATCCCCTTAAAAAAACCAGTGAGTTAGGCTGTACTGTACAGTGTGGCCTGAACTGTTAGAGACTGATGCCTGCAGAGAATCCTGAGAATTACTGAGAGGAAAAGCTCCATCAGGACCAGCTTTCCATTTTTATAAGCCCTCCTGTTATTTCATTTGCAGCGCCCATTTCTGACAGGAAGGACACTCAGACACCAGTGTTCTTTGGTAGGAAATAATTATTGAAAATACATTTTTTTAAAAAACACCTTCAGTCTAATTCTGGAAGTTACTGGTAACAGAATTGATTTTTGCTACTCTTAAGCAATACGTTCTTGGCATGAGTTCCCACTTACTTCAGCATGGGGTTGCTCCTTGTCTTTGGTTCATGTGCATTTTCAGAGCACAGCTCCAAGCAGAGCGTTCTGCTGGGCTGTAATTGCAGCCCACTCAAGAGCTGCTCTGGCTGACAGCAGAGAGAGGCAGGGCTGGGATCTGTTTGCTCCTAAGGAAAGCTCCTGGAAAATGTGAAGAAAGAAATGAAAATTGTAGAAATCTGGACATTGCTTATGAAGTCGTCATCTGGGAGAGCGAGCAGGAGTGTGCTCATCTGAATGTGTGAGACATGAGGGATGCAAGAGCAGTGATTTTTGTCCTTGCGTTTGTGACAGCAGCTTCACTGCATCTCTTGTGTAAAGCAACTTTTATTTTTATTATTATTTGCTTTTTATTTACTTTTATTTATTATTTTCCAGATTTCCCTCTGTGGGGAGCCTAGAAATCAAGTCAGGATCTCTCTGGGGTTCTTCTGAAAGGAAACGCTGATATTTATTTCAAACATAGCAGGCTTCTCTCAAAGCATTGTACACTAACTGGGAGCCATTACCCACTGGTGCACAAACACAGGTTCTGTTTCATGCATGCTAACTGTCTGCAGCCACAGGAGATACCCAAGTTAACGTTTTCTTGGCAGTTCATTGCTGCCTGCCTAACTCTGTCCATGAGCCATTACTTGATACTAAACTTTTCTTGGTTTACTTTCTTGTAATGCAATGAATTGTATTTTGAGGCAGAGAGAAGCAGATGCAAACTCTTGGGATGTATTTCCTGCTCCCATCAAAGCACAGGACCGTTTTATTTGATTTCTGAAGTAGTTTTATTTGGCACTTCTCTGGAAGCAGTGCTTCTAATACTGCGTGTCGCTTGCCTGAGAGCGAAGCCTGCATAAGAGGTGTGAAACTTGTCTTTATTCTTTGAAGAATGAAGGCTTGTGGGAAATGCTGGGGTTCCACTTCACAGATGGAAACCTTTTTATCTGCAGTAGAGGTTCAGGTTAGTCAATGGCATCAGAAGCATCAACTTCACGTTTTGCAAATGCTGATTCCCGTATAAATTTGTGAAAACTAAACACTGAACAAATCCAAACATCCTCTTCTCTGTGTTAGTTTCATCTCTTTGATGTGGTACGTTATTATTAAATCCAGATGGCTCAACTCTGCTATCACCACTCGATAAAGCTGCTTTGCTGCAGGCTACTGGCTGCATATGGCTTCAGGTTTGTTTTGTTTTTTTGGTACCTCCTCCTTTGGCTTCCAGCACTGTGTCCTCATGAGCATCTCTCTCCACTGCAACTTCAAAATGCCACAGGTGACTCAGAATTAAATTCTTTTGGGCACCAAGAAAGCATCTGTGCATCTTAAGGCAGGAAAGTATGAGGTAATTATGAGGAAATCCAGCGGGTATGTGCAACCACTGACTGTACAAAAACCCAGATCTGCATAATTTGGAGATTAATCAGGAAGATAGCTTGCATCTGTAATTGCTTGTTCACCCATATAAATGCAGTGAATGTATGCTCATTATAAAGCAGTTTATTACAAACATGCAAGCACTGAAGCTCCTTTAGGTAGATCACAGAGTCTGGAGATGCTAAATATTTTTTATTGTAATACGGTTTACGTGTCTGTCCAGGCTTCAACAAAGCAGCCAACTGATCAGTATGATTATCAACAGAAATGGTACCACTTTCTTCTCTGTGAGATCAGTTGATGGCTCTATGCTGTGTACGTGTTGAGAATTTTAATGGAGGAATATCTATAGTTGGTAATAATGCTAGCCAGTAATGTTGTAATTTCTTTATTGAGCAGCTGACAGGTTAGAGCTGCAGGGAAAGCAGGCAAACCTTGCAGGAAGCACTGAGGATAAACAGCAGCTGCCACTTGCTGGCTGTGGTCTGTCAGACAGCAGCACAGCACCTGATGTTCCCTTTGCCTCTGTGCTGCAAAGCACTCCTTGAACAGACCGTGGTGGCACACGGAAGCTGCTGTAAGTGCTGACTGTGTCTTGTCCCTTAAGTGATTTGCTTTCCATGTGCTCAGTGAGTGCTATTTGCGAATGTGAAATCATGCAGAAAGTAAGCTGTGGGATAAAAAAGTGACCTAAGCCCTTCTACTGACTCAGCCAGGAGGAAATTGTTTTGGCACCTCTGTCACAGGGTTGCCATCCAAGGTCATACCTGCCCAGCTGGACTTCTGCGTGATAAACAGCAGGCACTTACTGCTTGCTTCGTGCTTTCCCCTTGATGAGACTTTGATCTGTTTGTAGATCTTTGGATATTACCTGTTTAACATAGGAACAAGTTGGCTTCTGTCAACACAGGACTGATATGTAACTGCATCCTGTGTCTATTTTAGAACTGAAGCTGAAGAAGAGAGATGTTGCTCATACTGAAGTGTGGAGGAGATAGCAGGCAATCTCCTCTCCCTCACACTCCCAGCCCTGCAGGCTCGTGGGACTTCAGGAATATAGATATAATTATTTTATTCTGCTCCTGGTTTGGATTGGGGAAATGGAGGGTTGAAAATGTATGGATTTAGGTCCACAGGAGTTGAGCTACTGAATTCTCAGCAGTCTGCTTACTGAGAGAGGCAGAGTAGTTTTTCTTGCTGGCAACTCAGCTATAATAAAAAAAAAAAAAATCTATTTCCTGATCCTGGCAGGATTTCTCTCTTGCATAAGCATATCTCTGAGGAATAGTGGATCTGCTTTTTGTTTTATTTGCAAGAAGTTGTTATTTTTACCATGGTTTGTAGATCTTGGTATTGCGAAACACATCTTCATCACTGTGGCAACATCAGCTGCTTCTGTAGAAGACTGATAAGTTAAAGATATAATATTCTCTGTAAGACTGAGGAAATTTGCTTCTCATGTGGCTTTTTTAAAAGAGTAGTATTTCAGTTGAAGATGTTCTAGATCTAACAGTGAGGAAGAGTTTTCTTTTTATGCCAACGCTGTCTCAGTTGCTGTAGGTTTTCTCACACGTGTCCTCAGTTGCTCTTTTGTTGAGCTTTGGCATTCGTGGGTTTTCTGCTGTGGTTGACAGAGGTTTCTGACTTGCAGAGTCCCAACAGAAATCCTTGTTCTGTCTGTGTTGTTTCATGTTTCCAGTCATTGTTAAAAGTATGAATGGCTGCAGCCTGTATATTAAAGAACACTATAGGCTGAGGTCTTATGTTTATAAAAGAAGGAACAAAATTTGACCAATCCTTTTCAGCTCTTTAAACTCATGCCAAGTATCTCAGCTTTGCTCTCTCAGATGAAAAGACACTTTTTTAACACTTTTTTTTTTTTTTTTTAGGGTCTGTAGACTGAGTTACTGGGAGGGAGAAAAAATGAAGAGTACTGCCAGGCCTTGGAGTGCAGTGTCAAAGCAAGGAAGCCATGGGGTTGACAGAGGAAAGTCACTTTCCACCGCTTCATCAGGGATGAAGACATCCAAGTCCTCGACTTCACTCGCCTTCGAATCTCGGCTCAGCAAGGTACTAAATCCAGTCAGGGCTGTGCAAGCATTTCTGCCTTGTTTTTTGCACCTCTAAGGGATGCTGCTGAAGAGACTAGTCCAGAAATTAAATTAATTTGCATATATGTTAAATGCAGAGGGTTTTCTTCCTAATTACAGCTAATATTTTCACACTGTTGAACACCTGCAAATGCAAAATCATCAGTTTACATAGGTCACTCCAAAAGTAATGCCTCCGATTTATTTCCATGGAAACTGTGGCAGGTACAGAGCACAGCAGCACTACTTGACAGAGCAAATTCTCAGCTACAAAATCCAATTTGTCAGCATAGTCACCACCATTAGCTATGAACCAGTGAAGAACGTGAATCTGAATGCCACATTTGTTTAAAAACAGAAATAAAAAAATCTGCTCCAGTGAAGGGGATCCATTGGCCATGTCATCACTGCTGAAATGCCTCACTGTTCTCACATCTACTGTTTGGTCTCCATCATCATTCAGCAAGCACTGATGAATGCCACAGGTGCAATTTTTTCTGCACGGAGGTATTAGGCACCTTTGCCTCATCTGCACTGCATGTCAGTGTTTTGTCAGACTGCCTCTCTGCTGCCATCTGTTGCACGGCAACAAAGTTCAGTCAGTCCTGGTGGAAAAATTCAGCCTCTACTGCTATGCCACCAACATCTGCTGTGAACATCATGGTCCAACATCATAAAATAGGAGGCATTGCTTTCAGAGCATCCCTCTAGTATATTTGAAAAAAGAGAGTTAGGAAAAGCTAACAGTTGCTGCTGTAAAGGAGGATTCATTGACTAAGTTATGTAGAGAGGTTGCTGAGGTCTCTAAATTGTCAGAAAGTTCAAATTATTCCTTTCTGCTTCTAAGGGGGAGCTGAAAAAACTTCTGGCAGAAGGTGAAACATTGTTTGGTTTCCGGAAGCAGATCAGCAGCAGCTTCTGAAACTTGCATGCTCATGGGGTCCAGGAAGCCACAGACTGAGTCAGAGAGAAAAAGGAGAAAGAATTGGAGTTGAGAGAGATCTTATTTTGCTTTAAGATTTTACATTTCGAAACTGTTAACTAGGTGAATGTTCATCATCATGTGCATTCTTTTTCAACCTGAGCAGTGGTTTTCAGCCTGTGGCTTGTGGACCCCCCTTGTGTCACTAAAAAACCTCTAAGAATTTGGTTTTGATTTGTGAAAACAGCTTAGGTGTCCACAAACTGTGAAGGATAGGAAAATACCCTTCTGAGGAGTCTCTAGCTTTGGTCTTTTAGAATGCTTTACTTTCAAGAGAAATGCATTCAGGTTTTTATCAGAAGTACATAAGCTGTGAGAGGTACAGAAATGGGGAAGCAGCTGACCAAAAGTTCTGAGATGATTTGGTACTTAAGTGTTCTGCTTTAGAGTAAACTTAAAAGCAAATCTCCATCCCAAGAAAGGCAGCACAGCAACAACAGTTCCTTGCTTTCTCTTGAACAATAAGGCATGTGAATAATATATAGTGATATCATATACCATTTTTAAAAATATACTGTAAAGTAGCATGTCAGGCAAATAGTTCTTCTTTCATGACATGGAATGTGTCAGCTGGCACCGAAATGCAGAGACCTAAATATTTCAGTAATTGTAAACCAGTGAGGAAATCCAATGGTTGCTGTTCAGGGCAGCATCTGAGAAGCTGGCAATACCCAGTACTCTACTACTGTAGACTTTTTTCTCCCATCATCTTAGTTACTTGCTAATTTAAACACTTGTTCCTGTTTTTCATCTTTGGTCTTGAAACAGTATCGTCCCTTAACCCACTTCTCAAAAATCTAGAATGCAATACAAGTAATATAAAAATAAATTGAAAATAAGGTAGGATTTTTAGCAATATTTCTGCTGGGTTACTTAATGAAAACGGTCCTTTTCTCCCATGAACCTGGCTTTTGGAACGGCTTCATGGGAACTTCTGATTCTTCTGGTTGCTCACAAAATCTCTTTCTTATAGCTGAAGAGGGCGTGCAGCGATGATATGCTTACAAAACCGGGAGTGACAGCAGCTTCTGGAGTTTCTAGGCTGAAGAAGACCATTACAACTGGAGCAATTTCTGAGCTCGCGGAGAGTCGGCTGAAGCCCAGCACAGGTTGGTACAAAGCCTACTTGATGTGAAATGCGCCTGGTTTGCTGAGAACCTGTTTGAGTTTTCCCTCTTTTCACCTTGTAGCACAGTTATAACTTACCTGCTGTAATATTCAGCATACTGAACAGGAACCTCTTGTGCCTTACGGGCTCGTGTTTTGGCGTATCCTGCTTGGTCAGTAACGCAGGGGAAGAAGAAATTGAGCGCTGAGTGGCCACGCGGTGGCACTGGCTGCCTTCTGGTAATTCGGGCTGCCAGGGGAGATGCGCAGCTCGCAGAAGGACGCGGCCATTTGAAAGCTTGTTCTTTACTTACTTAATTTTCACCCTATGTGTATACAGCAATCGCTTTTCCTTTAATTGATTGAGCAGAGAAGTTATCAATCTGTCCCTGGGACACAGCAGAATTGCAGGAACAAAGAGCCAGCGCTACCATCTTGTGTGGAGGTTGTCCTCCTAAGCTACATTGCGGCATGTTCCCTCCCTCCGTGCCATCCCCACCAGCTTGTTCCTATTGACTTCAGATCTAAGCCCATTTCTAAAGGCAGCGACACCATCTGCATACCAAGGCCTTCTGAGCAAATACTTTGTTTTCCCCTAGGAGCTCAGCAAATGCTTTCTTTTGTCTGCTCCCTGGTAGCATTTCCAGGGGAATGTGAGATGTTATTAAATTTGATCATGACCTCGCAATTTGTCACAGCCTCTGCAGGGTTTGGCTGTGAAACAGAACAATGAAAGTAACCAGAAAGAGAATTCTCATTCAAGCTTTTGTTGCTTTTTTTTTTTAATGTATGCAACCCTGTAGCCCCTAATGGAAATGATGCATCTTAACAACCCAAACACAGATCTTGTTCTGCAGTTAATTGATGTGTAAATCCTCAGCTTTAAATGTTTAGTTGTACCCACAGACATTTGAGATTTTCCAGCCAATAAAGAGGCATGATGCTAGCTAAAGATGCTTGAGAGAGGAATAACAAGGAGAGTAGAGAACCTGCACAGAGAATGCAATACAGGATCCTGGGAATACAGCCAGGGAAACAGCACTGCAGGGAGTTCAGAATGAAATACATGTGTCAGATACAAAAATACTAGCACTGGAATAGAGAGCCTCCTTCTGCATTTGTGTGTAATAACTGGATGGAGGGGAGGGGAACTGAGATTTATGATGATGACTGCTTTAAATACATGATAAAAAGGTTTCAGATAAACACTAAGAATATGTTATCCCTCAAAATTTTCTTTGAGCCTAGAGAGAAAAGCTCAGGTCTTACAGGAGCTACGCACAGCAGTGTGGATGTTGTATGTCTTAATTTTCACAGTGGTTTCATAGTCCAAAAGATTGTTTAGAAATCTGCCTAGATTCTGAGAATATTTGTCACTATCATGGCCACTAAAAGACTAGATATTAGTAAGCGAGGTTACAAGATGTAATTCTAGATGGTTGCACTGTGGAAAAAATACCAGAAGCGTATTATAATACAATGCATCATTGCTTAGAGGGGAAAAAAAATAAAATCAGTTACAGAGGACAGAACATGTTGCTGAGAACATTAAGTAGAAAGAATGCTAAGTTTCAGCTGCTGTCCTTCATTGAAATAGCATCACAAATAACCTCTGATTGTGATCAAGATGACTCTGAAATTCTAGCTGACTGTGGAGCTAAGCCAAGAAATAACGTTCCTGTAGTTGAGAAATGCAGATGTTTGTGTACACAGCCAGCTGCATAAATCTTGAAATTCTGTTCTGAAACCCCTTTCTTTGGCTCCCCTGATTTCCTTCTTCAGTTCTGCGTTTTCCTTTCACTTCTTAAATGCAGACTTTATTTCTTTTCCCTGCCTTGTTTGTGCTTTTTATGTTGGGTTTCCTTTGTTATTCAAGGGAGTGCTTTGATTATTTTACAGAAAGGAAATGTATATTAGTTCCAGGTACGTTGGGGTGATGCTCATTTGGTATTTCAGTATTTTGTAGCAGAAAAAAATGTTTCTTTTTGGGGTGTGACTGCCTGGTATTTGTGTCTCAACCTTGAGCAACAGCACATGTTCCAAATGCTGCAGATAATAAATAATTGACACCAAGATTGTGTGTTTAAGTAGGGTTATTTGTATGCTGCCCTTGGTGTGGTTTAGGTTATTCATTCTTGCCTTTTGCTGACATACACTCCCCTTGTCTGCCTTGTTGGAAGCTAACGCAGTAAATTGTAAGTGGCTTAAAGGAAGATGAAGCCAATTGCATGTCTCCAATCTTGCCAAGTGGAGCTGAGCAAATGGAACTGGAGAGGAATTCTGGCTGGGAGTTCTCTGCTGTGATGTTTGGCTTTGCCTCTGCTTGGCAGTCTTAAAACCCCCAAGTAATGGGAAACGACACACGGAGAAAAGTCTTGGATTCTGCTTCCTTACCCGGTGCTCTGGCTGTCCATGTTCTGTCCTGAGGTAGCTATTGGCTGTTATGTTAAAAACCAAATTTACAGAGGTCTTGCATTGCTTTTTATGCTTCAGAAGAAATAGAGCTGGAAAAAAACTGCAGAACAGGGAAAAGAAAATGGGGAGATCACTAATCTTGGAAAATGCTTACTGAAATGAATGCACTTGGAAAGCTATCCAACCTGTAAAGCCGTAAAGTAAATAAATTCTTGTAAAATGTTAAATATAGAAAATTATTTCATCTTCAGTTTCAGGATTATAGGAAACTAGTGGTTTTTGAGATGCTGAACCCTCAAGGTTTATAAAGGAAATAGCCTTAAACTCCGCTGTTTCACAGTCGAAGAATTCCAAAGCTGCTTGCATGGCCATTTGCTTTCTGTGAAGAGCTTTGCATGGTAATATTGACATGCAAATAGAGGGTTCGAGGTTCAGAAAGGTGAAGTTGCCTGCTCAGTGGATCCTGGAAGTCATTCCAAATCCTGTTTCTGTTCTCCTACTCCCTATGCATTCTCAATTCGAACACTTTCTGAACATTTCCCTCAAGGCTCTCTACTTTAATCACTTTCATATGCTTCCTTGCTGTTATTTCAGTGCCGGCAGTTGTTATCTGTCAGGTTCAACAACAGAAAAAAAAAGTCTTGTGCTTTACAATTTGGACACTGGAAAAGAGAGCCGGGTGTGTGACTCGGCTGTGCTGTGCACATGTAATCTGAAAGCATTTCTCACAGAGATATTGATTTCTGTATACAGCTCTGCCAGCTGGAGTATGAAGTATTGGTTATCCCTGAAATGTGAAGAACAGCTAGCTGTTCTTGTTTTCCCTGTCTGCTTCATTAGCTTATTTCTTTAAACCTAAACGAAGTCTAAAATTATATATAGAGCTATTGAATTTTACATAGAAATGTAGGAAGTCATCAATACCAGTGTTATAATTGTCCAACTTATTATTTCTAGATATCTTGGATGTTTTACAGCCAGAACAAGAAAAGAGTGTTGCTTTCTGTGCAGGCCTTCAGAGTTGATGAACATCAGTAGCTGAAGGCAGTGACAATGCAGAAATATAGGAGAGGAAAACTCAAAAGAGATGAAGAGTTAAAATGATCTCCTAAGCTTCTTGTGTTGGGAATCGAACTGCAGGTTACCTGGACAAAGCCCCCTAATCCTAAAAAGGAACATTACCAGCATTAGAAACAAAGCTGTACAAAGCATCCTGTTTTAATAATGCCAGCAATTTAAATAGTGAAAGAAAAATACTAAGAATTTTGGCCTAATTGGTAAAAGCTACGAAAGGAGACAGATCATGGAACAGTTTGTTTGGTTTGAGCAATGTACAGCTCCCATAAGGGAGGCCTCAGCTTTTGAGTTTTCTGTCATCCGTATTCGTGTGGGGTTGGCAGAGCTCGTGTCCCAGTGGCTGAATATGGTGCCTGTATATCTTCAATTCCTTCCTAGTTCTAGCTGAGCACTTGCTGTCCTTTTGTCCAACTTAATCTGTTTGCTCATCACTTTCATTTAGTCATGTAAAAAGGGAAAGGCCTGATTTCCCTCACAGGCTTGTGTGTAGCATTTCTCTGTTGATGGTGATGACGCTTAGTTAATGAGGATAACTCTTTTCTGAATTAGGATAACTCTTAATAAAAGCTTTAAAAAAAAAATCACTGTAAAATCTGGCAGTTTAATTCTTCTTAAGATGCTAATAGACCCCAATTAAAATAGAAACAAAGGAAAATGATACCTTTGAAGGACAGCGTTCTGACCTTGGGGTCCTTTTCCTTCCCTGTACATCCACTTTTGACAGGGTCTGCTTTTTGTGATCTGTCACATCAAACACTACTGCAGGTTTGCAGAGGGTTGCTGTGCTTTGCATTCAGCTTCATTACTGTCTCGTTTTTGTGAAAGATACAGACAGGTGTGAGAGGCACTAATGAGACTGGTGTGCTCTGTTCCACGAGACTCCACTAGAAACCAAATGACTGAACTCATCTGAGCTTTTCCAAGAATAATAAATATGCTTTAAAATTTCATCTGGAAGGCTGGTTGCATTTTGCTACCCTTTCCATGTACAAGAGACAGCTCTTGTGTGATGCTTCTTATCAAGAAAAAGAGATTTGTTTTTACTTCGGAAATGATATAGAAAGAAAAGAGTCAAAAAAAACAAGTGATTGTATTTGAGTGACGCCTTGACAAAGAGACAAGAAATACTGCAGAAATTTAGCACACAAAGCAACAAAAATGCTCATCTGCATTTGCACCACAGCTCCACACGTAGCTGGATGTATATATTGACACCCACATGCACTCAAACATCTGCAGGTAATGTGTTTGTGCGAATGTGAATGAATCTGAACCTTCACATCTCTGACTTAACAAAATTATTTCCCTGGGAATGAAGTAATTCAACTAAATTTCAGCACCATTGAAGATTCTAGCCTTTTTTCTTTTTGTTCAGGGCTGACGTATGATGGTTGACCAGCATCATTATTCTTTTGTTCTGTTGCTGGATGTTTTACATGAGCCTCCTTCTATAGCCAGGAATGGAATGAGAGCAATTCATTACAGTGGCTGTCTGTTGGGATTTCTGTTA